AGCGAACGGCGTAATACGACTGAGCCGCCCACCCAGCTCCATCCCCGAATCATGACCGCAGTCAGGAAGTTTTAACCTTATTGAATACTACCTACGAAGCCGGTCTAATGAACGAGCAAGAGATAATACCCAAACTGGTTAACCGGAAACCCAATCGACAGGACAATCGAGATACCGAGAAGTTCTACCAATACCATCAGCACAACAACCATAATACCAAAGAGTGCATAAGTCTGAGGAAAATCGTCGAGCATTTGATTCAGGAAGGAAAACTAGATCAGTACATTGCCAGACCACCACAAGCGCCAGCTCCGAAGGTAAATCGGCAGATCAACATGATCAGCACCATCAGTGGAGTTCCCACACTCGCCGGTATATCCAATTGGTCGAGGAAGCAGTACGTTCGAGCCACGCAATACCCTCAGGTCTTCGGCATAGAGGTCAACCGGCATCATAAGGCGCCAAGGGTTACTTGGGAACCCATCACATTCTGCGAGAAAGAAGAAGAAAGGATCCTTTATCCCTATTATGACCCGATGATCATTCGAGTAGAAGACACCGACTTCGATGTCGAATGGGTGCTGATCAATACCGAAAGTTTGGTAAACGTAATTTTTGCCAACGCATTCCGAGAATTAGGAATAAATGATGGCTACATCAATCTGCAGTTGACGCCCCTGCTCAGCTTCTCTGGGAACTTGGTTCAACCCGTCGGCAGCTTTAGTTTGCATATTGCCTTCGGCATCTCCCCACGAAGGACGATGAGATATGACCACTTCCTCATTGTCGACTGCCTAATAGCATACAACATCATAATTGGGCAAACGACACTCACCGGAATCAAGGCGCACCTGTCCCCGCACATGCTGCTGATGAAATTTCCTACTAGCTTTGGCATGGGAGCAGTTTGAGGGGACCAGCTCAGCGAGCGAACTTGTTACGCCATAGCTCTCAAATCAGCAACCTCAAAACTGCAAAGTGAGACCATGTCAGTGCTAGGGGCGCTGAATGGTATGAGGCCAATCGACGACCCAAGAGAAAAAACGCCCAACTCCTCAAGCACAACCCGCCAAAGATTTGGAAAAGGGAGTGTTAAATGATTGGCAACTCGATCAGTATGTCAAAATCGGCACCACACTCACCTCATCCCTTTGACCAAAATTTATTGGTTTCTTACGGCATCACTCGAAAGTGTTTGCCTGGTCGTATGATGATATGCCAGGAATTTCCCCAGAGATCATCAGCCATAAGCTCAGCATCTCCCTCACCTACAAACCTGTGCATCAAAAACGCCGTTCGTACGATGCCGAATGGTATGAAGCTATGAGGGTTGAGGTTGACAAGCTCCAGACTATCGCCTTTATCAAGGAGGCCACGTACCCAGTATGGCTGGCAAACTTTGTGATGGTTCGGAAAGCGAAAGGTGGGTGGCGAATGTGCCAAGACTACATCGATCTAAACAAGGCCTGTCCGAAGGATAGCTTTCCACTGCCCCGAATCGACCAGCTCGTGGACGCCACTGCCGGTCATGATACAATCAGATATTCATGAACCTTGCCGACAACGAACATTCGACATTTATCACGGACAAAGGATTGTATTGCTACAACGTCATGCCATTCGGCCTGAAGAATGCGAGGGCAACATATCAAAGGCTTGTCAATCGAATCTTCGTTGATCATATCGATAGTACCATGGAATTCTATGTTGACGATATGCTGGTAAAGAGTAGGATGGCAAGAAAGCACCTATGCAACCCATCTCTCATGTTCGACATCTTGAAAAAGCATCGAATGCGGCTAAACCAGATGAAGTGTGACTTCGGCGTGTCTTTCGGAAAGTTCCTCGGCTTCATGATCAGTCAGAGAGGAATCGAGGCAAACCCCGTGAAAATCAAGGCCATAATTGACATGAAGAGGCCGAAGACACAAAAGGACATTTAAAGTCTTACCGGATGTGTCGCTGCCTTAACTCGCTTCATCTCCAAAGTCACCGATAAATGTGTACCATTCTTTAAAGCCTTGAAAGGGGGCAAGCATCTTGTCGCATGGACTGCTGAATGAGACGAGGCATTTCAAAACTTAAAGAACTACATAAGCAAAGCACCCCTGTTGTCAAAACCCTTCCCAGGGGAGGTTCTGTTTCTTTAACTTTCGGTATCTCATATTACCGTCAACTCAGTATTAATACAAAAACCAGAGAAGGCAGAACTACCGATCTTCTACGTCAATAAAGCACTGCAGAGCGCAGAGCTTCGGTATCCTCCCTTAGAACAGCTAGCCCTGGCTCTTGTTATCTTAGCCCGACGACTTCGTCCATATTTCCAAGAGCACGAAATCACGGTCTTAACTAATCAACCTTTTCGGCAGGTGCTCTAAAAACCGGAAACATCCGGTCGATTGATCAAATGGGCAATCGAGCTAGGAGAGTTTGACATACAATTCAAGCCAAGACCTACTAAGAAAGGACAGGCCGTCGCTGATTTCATCTCCGAGCTCACACCTCTAATAACACTCGTGCTGGCAGATTCATGTATCGATGCCGAAGAAACTGGGGTGCCAAGCGCCATATGTTTTGATCCTTTAATTCCAGTGTGGATCTTGCATGTCGACGATTCGGCAAATCAGCAAAGGTGTGGAGCTGGCCTTGTACTTACCGCTCCAGATGGGGTTAAGATGGAATATGCCCTCCGATTCAGCTTTCAAACGTCGAACAACGAAGCAGAGTACGAAGCCCTCTTAGCCGGCCTTCGGCTGGCCAAGAGCATGGGCTCTAGGCAGATCAGCATCACAGCGACTCCCAACTCATTGTAAACCAAGTGACTACCGATTTTGCAGCCAAGGATGTATCCATGTCAGTCTACTTGTCATCAACACACCAGCTACTTCAGAAGTTTTTGGCTTACAAGATTCAGCAGGTACCTAGATTCGAAACCAGTCATGCCGATGCACTAGCCAGACTAGCTTAGCTTCGGCAATAGACGACAAAGTCGATAGACAGGTTCCAGTAGAGATATTAACTCACCTAAGCACTACGACGGTTGACGTATGTGCCATGCAGTACGAGGACACTTGGATGTCACCAATACATGCTTACTTGACGAACGACACCCTTCCTAAACAAAGCCCAAGCAAGGAAGCTACGGTTCCGATCAGCTATACCACGCCTTACCTAAAATGCATCACTATCGAACAAGGGGACTACGTCCTTTGGGAGATCCGCAGTGGTGTATGTGGTGACCATTTTGGATACCGATCGCTGACACATAAGGCCTTTTGGCAGGGGTATTATTGGCCGACTATGCATTAGGACGCGAACGCACTAGTGAAGAAGTGTGACAAATGCCAACGATTTGGTAGTGTACCCCACATCCCTGCTAAGCCCTTAACACTGATCGTAAGCCCATGGCCTTTCGCCCAGTAGGGACTGGACTTAATTGGCCTAAAGGCCAAGTCAAGTATGCTGTGATATTTGTGGATTACTTTACCAAATGGGTCGAAGCCGAAGCTCTAGTAACTATAACAGCAGCTAGAATGGAAGATTTCGTTTGGACTCACATTTGCTGCTGATTCAGTATCCCCTACGCAATTATCACTAACAACGGTAGGTAGTTTGATTCGAAACTCTTCAGACAGTTCTGCACTCGCCTTAAAATCAATTTGTTTTTCGCTTCACCAACTCACCCCAATCAAATGGCCAAGTCTAAGCGATAAACAAAATCATCAAGAAACTATTGAAACGGTAGCTCAACAACGCCAAAGGCGCATGGCCAAAGAAGCTTCTCAAAGCACTATAGGCCATCCAGACATCCTTCTGAACGTCCACTAGGGAAACCCCCTTTTCTCTAGCCTTCGGATTGGAAGCCATCATCCCTGTGGAGATCGGCGAGCCTTCCTACCGAACTGAAAGCTGCGCACCAAAGGCGAATAAGGAGGCCCTTGCTTTAAGCCTTGACCTGATCAAGGAAACGAAGAGCGCAAGCCAACGTTCGGAATGAAGCCTATAAGCAGCGTGTCTCTCGGTACTATGACTCGAGGGTTTGATCTCGCTCTTTCCAAATCGGGGACTGAGTCATGCGAAAGGTCTCTCTAGCAATAAAAAAAACCCCACGGAAAGGGCCCTCGGACCTTCCTGGGAAAAACCATATGAAGTTATCAGTATTCTCCGATCGGGAACATATCGACTGAGACTCCAATGGAAAGACCCTCAGTCACCCATGAAACGTTGAATATCTGAAGTATTACTACAAGTAAGGTTCCCTAGCCAACAGCGGGTTAAAATTGTAAAACAATGATCGACAGTACATTCCGGATTAGTTATTTACAAAAGTGTTAGCTATCGGCAACAGCTATCTAACCGGAAGTAAATAAAAGTTTGTCAAACAGACGGCAATAAGAGAAAGAAGGATTCATGAGCTTAGCCAAAATGTTGAAAACAGCTAAACATCAATTCAAATAGATACCTTCGGCTTCAAGGTGTTTGGGACAAACTGCTTTATGGCAAGTACAAAATAAAAATGAAATTACAAATTACAGAATATGACAGCTCAAACGGTAGCCCTTTCGATGACCGCCTCGATGTTCTTATTAGTAGCGGCCTCGCCGCGAACCTCAGAGGCCGTAGCAACTTCCGGAGCATCCTCCCCCTCATAGTCATCGATCATCTCCTCTGTAATGCCATTCAGTAAAGGAGGAGAATCGGCAGCAAAGTTCAGGTTCAGCTTCTGCCCAGGGTTGAACCGTTTGAAACGATAAAGAAGATTCGCCATCTCCAAGCCTACTTCATTGTCGAGTAAGGCAGTGAACTTGTCAAACAAACAGTAACCCCTGATCGCCTCCCGAACTGCAACCTCGATTTCTGCAGCCTTTGCCCGCTCAGACTCTTCCCATGCCGCTTGCATGGCCTCATTTGCTGCCATCACCGCAGCGTCCAGAGCCACCCTTATCTCTGCCAGTTTGGCCTCGGAAACTTTGACTTGCCATTCGGCAGCCTGTTTGTCCTTCAGGAGATGAGGGTGATCTTGGAAAGCCTTGCCTGCCTCGGTAACCTTGGAACAGCCATCCTCATAAGCCTTTTTGGCGCGCTCGGCAGCTGAGATGGCCCGCTTCATACACAGCTACATGTCCATCGATGCTTGGAAGATAAAGCCAAAAGTCAGAACAAGTGTAAGAGCTAACAACAAACAAAATGAGGGTAGAGGAAACTTACAGAGGCCTGGAGACAGAAGGCATGTCTGGCCTCCTCCCGAAGGACCCTCTTCGGGAGCTCCTCGATCTCTGACAACTCCATTTATGAACCAAGGATCATGTGTTCGCAAATTGGACCGTCTTCGGTGGACAAGCGATATTGATAGGTTCGGTAGGGCCATCATCGTCCTCGGCAGCAAAGACAACCCTCAGTGTCTTCGTCTGCTACCGTTATTGGCCGCTTCCCGGCCGTCTTAGAGGCAGCAGCCTCAGTAGCCTGCCCTCGCCTGGACGGTGAGTCAACCTCTGCCACACCGCTGGGCACCAGCTCGGTACTCAGCTGCCTCATCCGATCGGCAAGAGTCTGATCCTCTGGATTAACCTCGGCCATTTGTACTGAGACTGCCTCCTGCTGCCGTCTCTTTTTCTTCTCTTTCAGGCCCATCATCAGGCATCTTTTGGAGGATTCTTTCGTCCTCTTGGCTTCGGGAAATCTTCTAGCTTCTGTCACTGTACAAACCAAAGACTGATAAGACGTCGACATATCATAAGTGAACATACAAAACAAACAAAGTGCACTTACTCTCAGTAGGGCTGACTAGGAGGGCTTTGATCAGGTTCTCGGTAAAGAGGAATCCCGAGTATACCCTGTCAGCAGCAGGAACCTTTAGCCTCAATTTATCAACCTGTCGAATCTCGGATTGAGTTGGGTTTGGCTACTTCAGTTTGCCTGCAAAACAATAGAAAACGATTAAAAATCTTTTAGAAAAGACATATTAATAACCTGCCGATCGACATGCTAATGACCTACCGACAATCTGAAAAGCGGTGGGAATGTGAAAAGGGATGAGTATTCCCGAAGGCAATTCCCAATTGCCAGATAAAAGCACTCGCCGATTCCTCCAAGACTTTTGAGAAGTTGACACGGCACTGACGAAATGCCCTCGTTTGGAAGCCCTGAGACAGTTGGCTTGAACCCAACCTCCATGATCAGCACTCTTGGACTTGATGAAGCTATACAGGTAGGAGAATTGCTCATAGGAAGGCTCCCCTTCCTTGGCAATACCGAATGCAACAATCACCCTCATTAAAGCCACCAGAAGTTGGGACTGTATTGGCCTGGAGCATTCCCTATTTGGGTGAGTATCTTCTGCATGGCAGGTTGTAACGGCAACCGAACCCCCTACAGAAGAACGTCAGTGAAAAAGACGACCTCACCATCCTCTGGGCTACTGAGAGACTCGGTAGGACTTGGGATCCTCATCTTTACTGAATCCAGGATATAGTACTCGGCACGAAGCTTGACTGGCTCCTTTACGGTCATCTTATTAAGCTCCAAATAGTCTATGCCAAACAGATGCTCCTTCGGCACGCCTATAAGTACCCTAGGGTTTCCCTGATGAACTATGGATACACTAAGTTGAGAAAAAGGTTCGGCAGTTGCCTCTCCACGGCCAGAGGTGGAGGTCTCCGATTGATGACTGGTGTGCTCATCCAGCACCCAAGTATCCCCCATCTGGAACTCGCAGTGCTGGTTCACACCGGCATGACTGTCGTCGCTATACACCACAGCCAACGGTACTGGCTGCCTTGTCATAAGTCCCTTCTCGATGCCATGGGTAGGAACGGAGCTTGTCCCCTCACTGAGTATTTCGACATTGGTATCTTCTCCACCCTCGGCATCGAGGCTTATGGCCTCACTATTTGTATCCCCCTGATCGTCTGATGACTCCCCATCGAACGCATTGGGCTCTCTCTCGAACGAAGACTCGCTATCAGACATCTACAAAACACAGAAAAAGGAAACTAAGGGCCATGCAGAAGACTAGCCTACCGATACCTATATTGCTACCTATAGCAACTAGACTACCGAACGAAACCCTACTTGCACAAAGTTCAGTCTAGCTCATGCCAGGGAAGGACGTGCATAGAATAAGTAAAAGTATTTAAAAGAGTGTCGAACGGTACCTTATCTCGAACTATGGATGAAGGAAAGTGGCATGAATTGCTGATCGTCCTTGTCAAAAATCGCCTTGACTACCGATTGGTCTCATCAGAAATTTCCTTGACTACCGATTGGTTTCGTCAGAAATCTCCTTGATTGCCGTTAGCCCTCGCTGGAAATTGCCTGGACAGAGCTCTCGCTTCACTCACAAATGCAAAGTGAACTTCTCATCCAGAGCCACTCCTATTTATAGGGCAAGGGATTGAAACAGTACGCGTCGGGAAACCAAACTATGCATTAATGGTGTTGCTCCACATGAGTGGACACGCCACGTGTCGTTCTGGGTGCGGATGTCCTGACAGCACGCGGGACACAGAAGACAGAGTGTCATTCAGTCCCATCACTTCGCCTCAAAGTAGCGACCCTTGAGTTCCTGGGTGTCTGCTTCCGAATAAAGAAGCGCAGAAGGACAAGGATCGAGCACCACCCTCTGCTAAATCATCAAACGGTAGAACAACACTTCGATTACCGAAGAAGGTATCAAGTCCCCATCCGAGAACGCTCATATGAGAACTTGGGGGATTCCTGTTTATACCAAAATGAACAGCCTATAAGGACCAGCCGCGTGGAAAATATTGAGCCTGGCTATGGTGGCCTTTGACACCTTACCTACCGATCTAGCGATTAGGGCAACTCCCTTCTCCAAGAGACGTGGCATGCCCACAATCAACGTCCACAGTCCCACATCGAAATTCTAAACAATATGCACACCTCCCAAGGCCTATAAAAGAGGACCACTATCCCCAAATGGAGATAATCAGAGCTTACGGCATACAGCCTATTGATATGTTAGTTTAAGTTTTCTAAATCCGTACTTACTTAAGCATCAGAGAGCCTTCGGTCAGTACCACACCGGTGCCTAAGGCCTTACCGAGTGTTTGTTGTCTTGCAGATCACACGCTCTACCAAAGCCCAAAGCATAATGAAGGCCCAATATCACTAAGTTGAGCCCAAAAAGTGTTGAACCACTTTTTCGCATCAACAACAATGTTTGCCTTTTCTTTGGTTGATTGTCAAGTCAGCTATTTCATGCCCATGTGGCACGTTTTGAACCCCACTTTAATATTGATGTGGACAAAAAATTTGAGCTGCATGAGAAAATGAAAATCTAATATTAAAAAACTCCAGTTGTCTTTGAAAAAAATATTAAAATTTTAAAGATAAATTAAAATATCGCAGCCCACAGGAGCATATGTCAACACCTTGTTCTTAATGCATTTCTTTTATAAAACAGTGGAAGCATATATTCTCTGTATAAATAAGCATTAAAATTGTGAACAATTATCACTGATTGAAAACCTGTGTAGAGAATTCTTGTGTTCACACCTTTTATCAACTCTTTTTATGCTTTTTCCACTGCTTTTTATTCCCCTCTTCAGCAAGTAAAGAACCCAAATCAAAAGCAACCCGCAAGTCTTTTGGATTTAGGACCCTGTTTTCTTGCCTTTTATTAGCCTTTCCTGCTTGCTTTTGGAATTGTATGACGTGGATGAACCTTTGCTTTATTTCAGTGTCTTAATGCAAATTTTGGCTCACCAATCTGGCTTCAAACAATTGATTCTGAGAAGATGATAGTAGCCAAAAGTTGAAGGACGTATCTAGAGCCCTTTCTCAAGAATCAGAACCACATGTCAGCTGGACAGATTCATAACCAAACTCAAATCCACAATATGCTCTGCCTTTAGAAAAAGGCTCTTTAGACATTACATTACTAGAAGCCGACCAATATCAGAATCTTTACTCCATTATACCATTATAGGGTTCATGAGCCTCTCTCTCTCTCTCTCTCTCTCTCTCTCTCTCTCTCTCTCTCTCTCTATATATATATATATATATATGCATGCACAGATGAATCAACATTTACACCACCACATACAGATTTATACTAGTCACCTAGACACTGATCTTTGAATCGAATTTGATCTTTCGTCTTAAGTTAGATCATAGCTTCTGCTGTTTCTTCTCCAAGATGGCCAAGACACAGGCACAAGAGAACCAACCTCCAGCAGGTACCTTCTTTCTGTGCGACAAATTTTATTTTTATCCTTATGATATAGCAGGACTCACTTTTGTTTTTAATATGGTTTTGGTTTGAAGGATACCCAACTGCAACTGAGAATCCCCCAACTGGGAAGAAGTTTAGGCCTCGGACAAAAAAGAAAGGAGACAGGGGCTTTATTGAGGGATGGTAAGTAGTTAGACATCTTATGCATCAGGTTTTTTTCCTTTCAGTCATCATTGTAAAAATTTCTTAAATCTTAGAAAAGCATGAGACCTGCTACCTAACTCATAAGTCACCAACGGGGTCTAGCCCAGTGGGAAAAAGCCTTGACTTGTAGACCAATGGTCTCAAGTTCTAACCTCTTGGCCCCTTGCTAGTGTGTGTGTGTGAGCAGCCCCCTCCCCTTTTGTAGTTTAGACTATCGATTATATTAAAATAAAATATAAAATAAAAAAACTCCCAAGCCAAAATCCAACAGAATCACTGCAGAAATTAGTGGACTTATACCTAAAACCCAAATTTCTGCATCCCCGAGCACTATGGATCTCCTCATAGTGGAACCTCTTCGTCCTTATACTTGTAGCATTCAAAACTACCTACTTTTCCCTTGTCCTGTCAATTGATGCTAATCATTTTGTTTCTTTTGTGATATCTATTGGTGCAGCCTCTTTGCCTTATGCTGCTGTTGGCTTTGTGAGGAATGCTTCTGAATTTACTCTAAGCACGACTACCATAATAGCTTCCTAGCTTACTCTTGTATCTTTGTTTAGCTTGGGGTGGTTGCCTGACTCTTATTATTTTTCCCTGTGTATCCACATATTGTAATAATATACCATCATATTTTCCTTTTCTGCTCAGTCTTCTTATTTTTCCCTGCGTCTGTCTATTCTCCTTATACGCAATTACATTATACAAGTTACATCAACGCAACAAGAACATTTGACATACACCCCGCTTTTTTGAATGGGTTAAACAAATTTTCTACACAATATTTGCTCACTATTACTCAGGGTAAAAAGATGCGAGGTACACATAGAACCCTAATTGAATTGTTTTGGCACTTCCCAATTTTTCAAACAAGCAATTTATATCGAGCAAGCCCCAGAAAAGATATGTTTCCAATGCACATCGAGGCCTGAGAATCAAAGTCAATATATTTGAGATCGAAGGCTGTGTCCAAAAGGCTTTTCCTTTTTACCATTATCAATAAATGTAATAATACATCACATCGTATCTCATGATTCCTCTTAAATTTACAGTTATATTCTTAGGTCTAAAGATGCTCGAGGCAGATTTGGCAGATTTTTTTTTTTTTTTTATTGAAGCCAAAATGCATTCAAATTTAGTGAAAAGCCATATTAATCAATAACTAACCACTGAAGGATGCTTCTCAAATGGTGTCCGATAATGGGAACAGCTTTTCCAGCTTGTTATTTGAAAGGATCCTGCTCGGGTCCAACTCCTTTCGTGCTTTATTGTATGCATCAACTGGAAAACGCTTTCTTAGCCTGGCCTGGAGCGAGGCAAGCTCTTCTTTGTCCTTCGGAACCTGTGCACGATATGCATGTCTAAATAAAATGCACAACAGTGATAACATAACATGTTTTATTCAGCCATTTTACCAAAGATAAATTGGTAGAATTCCTAAAAGAAGCAGCTTGATCAGCTACAAAACAACTTTAATCTGGACACGTTACAATACGTTTTGCCTTAGAAAAAAATTTGTTGTTGAGATTGCAAGTGAATGCAAACCCTATAAAAAATTAAGTTTGCTAAGATGTTGGAAATTGTTTTTTGGTCAATGGATGTTGGAAATTTAGCATGAGTTTGAGGGTATTGAAAACAATAAATTCACTCTTCAGGATTTCATAATATCATGGTGGTAACATCATTTTAGAAAGATTCTACAAAGACAATCATCTAGTATAACATTTAATACCTCAATCTTTGCCCAGTGTTCATAAGCGGAATACTTATCCCACAACTGTACTTGGGTCAGACGCCTGTAGTGGAAAAACTCTTCTGTAATTTCCTTTCTTTGGCGGGCATCCGTTGTAGGAAGGTACATGATTATACCAACCTGATACAAAATTTAAAACAGCTTTTACACATGAGCATTGTAGTTGGTAACAGCATTTGATAAGAGTTAACTAATTCCACATACATGTAACGTAGCAGAGATATGTAATATTTTGGCCAGGGTGAGTATCCAATACAGATACGGCCCCAAATACGGATATGGATACTAATATGATCATTGTATGTTACTACACTTACTTGGTGTTTGATTATTTTTTGTCACATTTAAATAATTTTCACAAAAACCTTTTTCTCAATTTTCCAATGCAAAATTAAGTATTTACTTTTAGTAGTTGAAAAAATCTAAAAGTACCATTGGGCGATTCTATTCCTATTAAAATTGGGTGCGCATTCTTAATTTATAATTTGTATATAGTGTTGAGAGTACTGTACCACATCGTGGAAGTAAAGCCTCGCAGAGTAGTACTAAGATACATGATGCCCCTGGGCATCCCTACCCATTGTCAACTGTTGTTGGGTTGGATGTAAGACATGATACTAAACAAGTTAAATACGTGTACAAAATTACAAGATACTATAGTACCTCATATTTTTCATTCTTTTGGAGTTTTTTTTTTTTAATATCATAGACGAATTAGTTTTTGACGGACTTCTCGTTCATCCTACATAATTTCTGTCACTTTACTCATGAAGTTTGGTTCTTATAAAAACAAATACATCTGAAGTAGGTTGAATTCTCATAAAGGTGGTAAATGGTGACCTATTTCAAGTGGGTTGTATCATGTCATATCATTAACAAGATCCATTTATTACACGGGTCAATGGGTTCTGGATAAAATCTGTTTATTAACAGATTACACAGGTAGAGATTGTTACCTATTTAATAAATATGTCATGTTCATGTTAGAACCTATGCCAGAAACACCAGCAATAAGCACAAACATCCTCCATATGTTCAATGTAAAGGGAACATACTTTTACACTAAACCCCAGAAGACTTGTACCACCAATTCATCTATCATGCTTAAACAAGGTAAAATATAAAAAACCTTAACCCTAAAATTGTCTTGTATGCATGGTCAACAAGTGATAAACGTTTTTATACCACTGACACCTTTCTAATTCAAGATATGCATAAGGAATTAACCCAAGAGATATAAAGAACAACGCGAAGAAACATTGGTTCATGAAATTACCCACGAAAATATATCATCGTCTTTTGTACTTGAAGCTGGACTCATGGGGCTTTTAGTGCATGCTGTCCAGCGCTGCTCTATTGGAGCAGGTGCTGGTACCTCGTTCTTCTCTATGAGCTGCTTTACATCTTCTATGTATTCAAGGTCTTTCAAGCTTGGTTTGGAAAGGGTTCCAACTGGAAAACAAGTTTCTGAAACCCACTGTTGACCACCACAATCAAAGCCCAGAATTTCATCACTCCATCCCACTCTGTATCCCTCTGACTTCCTCCAGAATTCAGCCTCAGCTTGATTAACTTTTACAACATGATCTTTGTCGAGAGGATCTAGGGCAAGCAGTTTATCTCTCAACTCTGTAAATGAGAGCTCATTTATGTCCACGTCATTCTTAACTGGAACTACACTGCAAGTAAAATGTGTAAATGGTTAGCTGCAACGAACAGATGAATCAACACAATAGCAATATGGGAGTTTTTGAGTATATCAAGCAAAAAAGAACAGATAATAGAGGACGAACAATGGAGGACCAGTAATCCGTTTTATGCTAACACAACAACACCAAAGACAGCTCTAGGAGTTTGCAATCCATGCCCACCAACCTGCATACAACATTCCAGTTGGGATTTCACGACCTGGGTTGACCTTGGTTAAACCAATCCCAACCAAGCTTGCCCAAGCTTACAAGAGTATAAGCGTATGCATCTATATTAAGTGCTAATGAGTATTGTCTTAACAGTATATAAACAGAGTTCCAAGTTCTAGTAGTAAGAAATCTAGAATATCAAAGCCACTGAACATTGAAACAGAGAAATGAAAGAAAAAGAGCAGTCATTTAAGACCATGTTGCAAAGAGTTTTTGTTTCCCATTTCACCACATAGCTCTAGCAGTACTTTGATGCCTTTACTTTATTGCACTTGCACAGGTCCTCTAAGCCAAGAGAATATGAAAATAAAGAAAATGATAAATGATAAAAGGGAATAAGAGACATTCAGCCTGTACAGCTTATTGTCCTTCAGCTCAAACAGGAGAAAATATCTTGCTAGATTATATGGTTGACAGGACAAGGAAACAACTTTACCTGCACTTCTGGAGGCATTCCTTGTAGAGATCTCGAACGTGCTGTATGGCTTCATCACTGCCATATTTGGGTTTGAACTTTGGGGGACCTTTCCATTTTGATACAGGGTTACACGTCACAACCACAACAGTGTCGCTATATGGAATATAAAGGTACTTCACATGTTTATTCTCAGATAGTAATTTCCTGTGAAACAAACAGATCATGTATCATTCATTTCCTGATTCCATATCGCGCTATAATATTAATGGTGCATAAGCACACAGTAGTCAAAATACGAGAGAGAGAGAGAGAGAGAGAGAGAGAGAGAGAGAGAGAGGGAGAATTCGTTAAAAACAAGCAAAAACAGGACATACAGAGTGAGAGAAGAATTCGTTATAAATAAGAAAAAACAGTACATACAGCTTACCCTTACTAATCAATGACTTCTGAGATTTAAGAACCACATGTATATGTTGATGCATCAGTGATCGACAATTTTTATGTTTCACCGGAAAGTGTTGCTATCACTAGCTGAAATGACCATTCTTTTATAATGTTGTATTGTTAGCAGCTGTGAAGTGAGACTAAAATTTTCAAAATTTGAGCTTTTTCAAACTTACCTTTTTTGTGAGTGGTTTTTATTGTAGTTTCTCTTTTTTCTTCAAAATAAAAAATCACTAGATGAAATTCAATGAAGGGTTTGCATTACAAGCCACCAAATCTCAGCACTCAATCGAAGTGTTTTCACCATCCCTTAAAACATTGTAAAACCCTAGCTCCAAACCAAACAATGGTTGCCTCACACTCAATAGTTTTCATATTTCCATAAACTTGTTGCAATTTGCAACTTGCAAGCAACACTCATGCATTTTGTACTTACTATCTGAATGAAAGACAAACCAATAAATCTAACAATGAAAGGAATAAATAATTACTTATGATTTTTCTTGATCTCTTCCATGTTTGAAACAGAGGTGTGCTCTACAAGCTCCTGTCTCTCAACGCACTGGATGGTGACTTCAGCAACCACTCCAAGGCCACCAAGGCCACACCGGGCTAAATAAAACAGCTCTGGATCTTTCTCTTTAGAGATTTCTATTGTTCCCTTAGCAGGAGTGACCAGCTTCATACTGATCACCTGTTCATCCATCGGAGGCAATTTTGCACCAGTACCATGTGCACCAACCTACACGCATATGAACATGAGGCAAAGAGAAAGATCATATTAGCAAAAATCAAAATGTGATGAGGCCAGTCAATTGGAAAGAGTTAAACCAAAACCCACATAAAACTTAACAAAAAAAACAAACCAACCTGCAAAATGCCACCAATCTGCTGCTCCCTAATGGAGGCAAAGTTCTGCAGAGTAAGGCCATGTTCCTTGATCCCATCCACCAATTCCTGCACCCTTATCCCAGCTTGCACTCTCACCCTCTTCTTCTCCTTATCCACCTCCAAAACCTTATCCATCAGCGCCAAATTGACCATTCCAGCCCTGGACAATCCAATCCCATTCGGGGACAACCCGGACCCGACAGGCCGAATCCGGGTTTTCTTCTCATGGGCATCCTTGACAACCTTTTCCAGCTCCTCAAGGGTCTCAGGCTGGTGGAAAACCCGGGTCTGGACCTCGTGGGTCCCGCTCCAGTTGGAGACTGTGTGGAGCTCCTCGGGCAGAGGAGCATAGCGGAAAATCTGGGCTTTTTTGTGCTTGGCGTTTTCAGGGAAAGGGAAGGAGTAGTAGGTGGCTGCAGCGGAGAACAAGACGAGGGCTGTGTAGCCCAAGTACTTGCGGAGCTCAGAGGCTGATGAAGATGCTGATGGCGATGAAAGACTGGAACATGCGCGTGCTGGGCTTAATGGGTTCAGTGGGTTTTTGGGGATGGCGGTGGAAATGAGCGGCTTGAGGTGGTTGTGGTGGAGGGACTGGAGTGAGCGTCTGAGAGTGAGAGCTCTGAGCATTTTTCCGTTTTTTACTTTATTTTTTTTCTTCCTCTGTTCCTCCTTCCCTCTTTAGTATTTGGGATTGGAGAACTTATCAAAAATAGCCAATTTTTATCTATTTTAAATATAGCAAAAAACTCACGTAAATAGACACAAATGCTTTTAAATTTAAAACCCACATAAACATAAAAAAGAAAGCCCTATTAGACTGAGAATTTTTGTACAAACGTTTGCAAAGAGTTCGTTTGCAGACATATTACTGCCATAGTCAAACGGTGAGTGCATCTCTTCCTTGGCTCTTTGTTCAGTTTCTTCTTCGTTTCTTCGTTTATTCTTCCTATATTTATAAAATTATCAAACTTCTGAAAGTTTGTTTTTATCAAGCATTTATAAAATTAAAAATGGTGTCCCGTTTTGTATCTTTTAATCCTGCATCGTCCGGAGTTTTAGAGTGCTTAAAAACTCGCTTTTCCTTAGTATTAAAGGTAGTCACCGTGAAGGTTACAATTTAACGGGAGAAAAAAAAAAAAAAAAAAAAGTTGTCATCTAGAAAAGAGGAATCGTATTTGTGTAATTTACCCATGCCAAAAGATACGATTTATAGAAGGAAACATCACCGATGCCCTTTCTTGGGTAAGGTAGGAAGCTGCCAGAGAGGAAGCCAAATAGGGCCTACTTGTGGCCTTCCTAACACCAATCACCTTGTTCACGATGCGTGATGTGAGACATGTCATTTGGCAACTTGGCCTAATAGTTTTCAAACCAGACAGCCTATGTTGTGCAAATCATTTGCGAGAAAAGTGTTGGTTTTTTCTTTGTTTGCTTATTAGTGGCATTCTGCCGCTTGTTTAAGTAATGCCTTCTTTTCCTCCTTTCTGTTCTCTCTGACTTCTTTTAGTCTACAAATACGAAAACAGACGCATATGTACATATACATATGTATGCTGCTGGAACTTCCATTTATTCATGCCAGTGAATTATAAAAATTGAGGTTCAGTACCACACCTAACACCACCACCAATCTTGAACGTGCCCAAGTATCACCACCAACACCAGCATCACTCATTTATATTAGATTGATACCTCTAAAAAGATGGACATTAAATTCCGTAGACTTTTAGGTTAGCCAAAAAGATAAACATTAAATGCCATCGACATCACCACCTCTACCACATTGCGATGGCCATGACCATAACCACCCCAAACACCTTAAGCACTAGCAGCCTCACCATCAGAAAAGAAGAAAGACATAAAAACAAAGAATCTACAAAGGAGACAAGGCCTTCAAATCTAAGCTAGAGCAGAACGGTCAAGCAGCAAGAGTTGAAACTGACTGGGAGAGATAAAGGAGAAAACGAAACAAAGCCTGGAAGTTAAAAATAAAATCTAATACCCAAAAGCGTATAAGATAAAAGTATGCGTAAACTATAGTTGTATTCGTAGTACGCAATAATCAGCATTTAAGAGCACAAACTACTCAACACCACATCAGTATTATTCTGTACAAAACATGCATACATAGGATAGCCACCTATCAAGCCAACTTATTGACGCCTAAATCCCAATTAGTAGGGAAGGGCTGTTTACATAGTACCAATTACGACGTATATTCTCTTGATGCCCATCTCTCCTCATACCTTCCAAATGAGTAGGCTGTTGACGGAACCTCAATCATGTGAAGAGGGTCAGGTTCAATGCCATAATCTGTTAGCGGTCTATGCTCGAGAACATCATCGTGACCTTTCACGAATTCAGGAATCTCCACCTCTCCCTTCTTTATATCCTCCCAAAGGTACTGCAGGCGGCTCACATACTTGATCTTCCAATATAGGCTGCAAACAAAGATATTTTAAGAACAAAAACGAATACCACATCGATTATGCTCCTCAATTCACTGTTGGCTGTAACTTAGACATGGATTCAATAGGGAAATATAGTCATTTGAGGATGCTTGGGCATAATCTGCATGACTACATAGTACATCCTATAATGTTGCTTGAAACATAAATTGAAGAATTTCAACATCAGCCATCAAAATGATTTTTTTTCCTACTTATCTCAAAGACAGATTTGTCTAAATTGCAGTTCATTGAACAAAATAATCACCAAGTTTCAAGACAGTATTAAGCAAAGTCAAAAGACATGTCAATAATATCAAAATACTAATCCACAAACTCTCCGTTATATTCACTAATTTGTTTGTTTTTTATAATAATAATGATAAGAAATCATTATTATATTAGACTGAGGGTTTACAAAGTATACGAAATCACTCACCCTCCAGTTAAGAAGAATCGGCCAAGAGTGGCAAAGACAAGTCTTGATCGGAGCCCAGGGTGAATGAAGTACACAATCTGAAGCCTGTCCTTCAAATATGAAGGAAGGTCTTCATAAATCCACCTTAAGATAGTTATGCCAGGGGAGTTATCCTCCTTTTGCACAGTACTATGCATGTAAACAATGCAGTATGGCCCTTCTGGAAGCTCACTGCATAATTTGTGGAATATATACCTCTTTAGCCTATCTCCACTAACAACTGGAGCTGCAGAAAGAAAATCAGACAAATTAAAACAATTGTCATGTGACACAGGGTTTTTAAAAAGTAGAATAAGGAGATTGAAAACAAAAAATCAAGAATTAATTATTTTCCCACCAATATAAATATAAAAAAGAATTTATCCAAACCAAAAGGAAGCAAAAATCCATCTTCTTTGCGAATGTTAAATGCAAAACCAGACATAACAAACCCCTAAAAAGTTTCAACTAAGATAATATTCCCTCCAAACAGAACCCATTTCACATCAGCATCAACGCCACCATTATATCCGGCCATTAAGAGTATTTAAAATTGACTTTTACAGCTCAAAAACCAATGGTCAAATACTCCCACATCATGCCCGAATCCCTGCCATCTCACATTTGCAAACATCCTAAAAGCAAAAAATACCTTATACAGAGTACAAGAAGGGAGATATCCTATCCCTTACAAAACTGAAGACCCTTTTTTTCTTATTGAATTATTGAGAAAGATGGTTTATGCCAAACAGGCTGAAGTCAACTACGAACAGGACGGTGATCACCAACCCCTAATTTCTTGCTTTGAAATACTAAACCTGACTATATAGAGTGTGTTATATTTATCACAAAGCACAAAGTGCAATTTGTTTCCAACGAGACACATCTAGAAGAGAAAAACACTTTAACTATTTCCAAAAATTAGCAAAATTAAGCAACCTAAGGTAAGTCCCTGCCACAAAAGGTACTATTCTATTAACAGCTTCTACAGTTCACAGAACTGATCATTACATATTTCAAAAACTAAAAATTAAGTAAAAAGCAGTTCCATAAAACCCAGTTGTTCCATACCAAGGGAACCACAAAACCCAAAAAGATAAATAAAAGTAAAGGGTTTAACCTAAAAAGAACACAAGAAAATTATCAAAAACACAAAGTATTTTACCCAAAAAACTGTCAATTACCCAAACAAACATAGAAACTCTTCAAATTCAAACGAAACCCCGAAGCCAAAATAATTAGGACATGCTTATATAATCAGTTAACTCAGATATGGACGAGTAAAATACACATCTCAGCTGAGAAACAGGTTTTCATTTACGCAGCTAGTTTAACTAAGGAACAATTCACCCACTGTAACAACAGATAAGGATAGTTGGATCTGTTTGTTTACCGGGAAAGTATTTTCCCACTATGCGAAAAATACGATTTCCAGACTTGTCATGGCCCTGAACACGAAAGAACTGCAAGAGCTCGAGATCGGAGAAGTCCTCGTCGGCAATAAGGTTCTGAGGGCAGTCGTACCAATTCTCTTGTTCTTCGACCTCTCTTTCTTGGTTCGTCAAGAATGGCCTCGCATCTATACCCAGATCCGATGCCAGTACCACCACCGAGAAGTCCTCCGGCGGGCTACCCATCTCCGGTTTGGTTGATTTCTCTCACTTTCTCGCGCTTTCTCGCACTCTCTCTGTTTTTCTTTGTGTGGCTGTGTGGAGCACCGTAGGACGGAACCGAGAGTGGTGTTGGATGTGTGGAATATGGGCTCAGTTAAATTGGACACGTGGGATGATTTGATACCGTAACTCAAGATTTGATTGAAGAATATGCAGCAGTGGCAGACTGGGAGTGGAAGTTGTTATCAAGACCATGTGTTTTGAGCACACAGGATTATGACTAACTGTTTATATTTGTTTTTATCTTCAGATATCACCAATGATGTGGAATTCTTTTGAACGGATAAGGCAATAATGTTAAGGAAGGTAATTAAGAAAAAAATGTTGATTTAATTACCAAACCACTCATCCTAATAAAATTATCTTTATAAGGTCATCTCTAATTATGTTGGGACTAAACTCAAATTTTCACATTCTAAAATATAATTATTTATGTATTTTCAGGACTCAAAAAAATTTCCTCTCCAACCTTGCAGACTCATAATTTGAATCCGCAACTTTATTAAATTGTTTAAGAATGATTAATTCTTAAAAAAAAATTCTCATTAATTTTCTCGACATTATTTTTGTTTCAACATTCGTGATTTAATTTTCTAAACATTTTAACCTAAAAAAATTAAAATTCCAAAACATAATAGAATTTCACTTGAAAATAAAAAGAAATACAACAACATTTTATTTTACGGACTTTTTCATGAACTTTGAAAGTAAAAACAAGTAGCACACGATTTATATTTAAAAAACATAAAAATAAAACCACACTATTTTTTTAAAAGCGGTAGCAATCCCTGGAGCTTCTACTTTTGTGTATGCCCGAAATAATTCGAACCCTTCATTGAAGTCATTGCCATAATTGTCTTCCATTTTTACTTTTGCTTCATTATATTTATTTATCCTTATTCAATAATGTTATGAACTTTTGACCACCTCCACTTATGTTCTTCAATTATTTTATGATCCCTCTGCCATCCCCTATTGTCTTGTTTCAATCATGTTCTGAACCATTGCTCAACTTTGTCCATCTCACTTTATTGGATTCCCTTTTATTTCTCCCTCTTTTCCTAT